ATGCAATTTCTAACCAAGGCAGTTCAGAAATGCCTATTTTTCATCCCACGATCGTATACAGCAACAAAGTATAGCGTAGGCCAAGAAGGGACGGGGGGTTCGCATTCACCCACGTAACGCTAATTTTTTCCCCTTATTGCAAAAAATTATCGATTATTGACACTAGGATGGGTATTAACAATGACAGAGCATCAAAAGATAAGGAAATTCTATGGACATGAGAAGGGGGAATGAAGGCACTGGGGAAGAGAATAATAATAAAAATAATGACAACAATAATTATAACAGCAATAATGACAACAACAATTACATTAATGATAATATTAATAGTAACAATAACAACAATGATAATAATAATGATAATAATAATGACAATAATAAGAACAAAAATGTAATGAACTGGAAATTTGAAAAGCAAAGGTAAGTGATAAATACTAGGACAATGAATGAGTTAGGATCTTCGAATTCTGAGAAGAACAGACGAGAACTGTGGAGCTAAGCACATGCATTTAGGAAATCGAAGAAATGCGGTTATTAAATTTTTCGTATGATTTTTGGTGACAAAACATCTTCTGGATCGGTTTTTGCTTGAAATTTTGAAATACACTTCCCTGTGTGTGAAACCACAGTGTACACTAGAAGTTTAGCTCAGACTTGTCAGAAAACTACCGTTTTCATTTTCTTCCAAAAAAAAAAAAACTGGAATTGGACGCACAGCGATTTCTGGTCTAAATTTTTGGCGGATTGTGTCAATGCGAGTTGCGAACGAGCATGAAAATAATATTTTGATTTTTTTTTTTTTTTTTTTGAGACTGTTTCCAGAAAAAACGAAAAAAAGAATCCTTACCTCGTCATCATTTTCAAGTTCCACATCTTTCATATTGCTCAATAAGCAGTTACCACGTGTTTGCTGCTTCAGGACCGGTTCGGTGCTTAAGCCGAGAGCCAGTTTATCGCGAATAATACCCAGTTCATAGGAGATGCCGGCCTCCTCCACTTTTCGCTTATTTCTACGGAATCCATAGACAGCCACATCCAATCCTGACAAATGCATCTGCTCTCTGAAAACTCCTCAGTCAATAAGCCCCCCCAAAAAAAAACATCTGGATTTTCATGCGAGAGAAGAAACTCGATTTAATGAAGTGCCGAACAATAAAATACGTTTCCCCGAAAGAACTCAACATAACCAGGAGTAGGCAAAAGCGACGCTTAGATGGACAAATGACCACAAATAAAGTGGACAAATGGCCCCTCTTCAAGCAACAATTATCGTAGCAAACGATGAAACACGGAGTACCCCCATCGAAGCGCCGTACATCGTACTTGCATCGTTGGGCATCATTTGCCTCCGAAACGAGTGAACGAATCGTACCACTCACTGACAGATCATCATCAGCTGTTATAGCAGTGGCGCCAGCAATTCCCGCAAACTGGACACAGTGGTCTGGCACTTTGCACTAGCCATTCTGCCCATTCGCCAAACGGAGTTCGCTGCTACGGCTGAAACTTCGCGTCGCTTTCATCCATGCACTAAGCTCTCCGGCCAGCGTCTGTTGGCTGACGCCGCCAGCTCTTCAGAAA